GTTAGTGGTTTAATAAGTTGGTTTTCTCTCCCTTTTTTTGTAGAATCAAATGGTCTTTCTTACAAGATTGCTGTTTTTGTTATGAACGGTTGGCGCTTGCGTGCTGTCTTACATTCAGCTACAACTTATTATCAGCCATAATTTTAAAAGGTTTTCTTTTGAAAATTTTATTACGATGTCATTCTCAGTACTTTACCATCAGCTGGGTTTGTTACGAAAACGTTGATACGAATTACACAAGTTCTGTTCAAATGATCGGCTGAAGCAAAAACACCACAACACCTACAATTTTTTTCATTGCTTAAATGATATCATGATGTCGATTGTCGATTAGATCTGCTGTTCTCTTTCAGACTGCTGTCACTATAAATTATGTTTATAAAGCACCAGCTGTGTTGTGATGCATAAAAATGACCTAAAGTTGGCGTGCACATTTCGCAGCGGTTTCTTTTTTTTTTTTTGCAAATTGGAGAAAAGAACTGGGTTACAAGTCGTAGCTTTAGAGACAAGAACTTCCTAATTGTTGGCAGGAGGTTTGACCGTTTCCATACGTGGCATCACTTGAAGCGGAAATTCGATAAGTTTTGTAAGGAGCGAAATAATTTATTAAAGCTTGTACAATTATGGCTAATATTTGAGGAATAGTAAAGGAATTCTAATTACCTTTCACTTTTGCTGTACTCCTCTAAGGTTTCTATACGTTTAATTTGATTTAGAGAGGTAAAGCTCTTGGTAAGAATGATTTTATCTTCGACCAGGGGCTTTCTCACTTTTTATTATACTCGATGTGTTTCGCAAGCTGATAAATTCGCAATATGTTTAGGACGTGTATCTGGATCAGATCTCGAATACAAAGGCACATTAGAGATTCCAAATCTTAGCGATGAGAATGATGCTAGTGAAATTGATGTAAGTTCTTTCATTTTCATTATAATCCTATTCTGCGGTTATTTCATGGTGCATCACATTTAGGTTAATGTAAGTGTTGACACTAAGGGACCTCATGAGGCGACAATTCGACAATTACTGAATAGGACTGGGACGGAAAAGATTCGGGTGCTTCTAGAATAATTTTTTATTTTGACAGTCCACTGCATTTCCTCTATGTTGATTTTATAGGCAGCGTTAGCTACTTACATTCGCGAGCTCAAAGAGGAGTTTAGCAAAGGTCTTATCCTTCCCACCGACAAAGTCAAGCCGCAGGTTTGTTCTTTTGTTTTACCTGCAAATTTTGAAATTCGATTCACATGCTCGTTTAGGTCGTGACAAAGGGAAAGACCACCGTTGTCGATAAAAGGAGTTTCCAAAATATGGTTAGTTCATTCTTTGATCAATATTTTCGTTATCAATGAACATCTCATTTAGGTGATAACTGATGAGAAAGGTGATACACCAAAGAAAGGTCAGTTTGATTGTGCACCTATTCATTTTAGTATCTGATTTAATTGCTCTTCATTTTTAGTTGAAAAGTTCGATGTAAAAAGTGTGGAAGCGAGTGAGTCGTTTAAAGTTCCTCCTGATCGTCTCTTCGAAGTTCTCAGTGAGCCAGCTGTGGGTTATAATCTTAAGCAACTTTTGTATTCATCATCGTAGAGCTACTTCCGTATATTCAGATGGTTCGTGCATGGGCTAATGGCAATGTGGAGTGGGACTTCAAAGAAGGTGGAAAGTTTACCCTGTTTGGTGGAACAGTGACGGGAACGTTTGACAAGATCGTATGTTTATGAAATTTTTTAAATGAGTATTTAGTCGAAACTTTTTCAATGTAACATTGTAACAAATGATGAACCTCAAATTAGTTAGGGGTTTAGCATTTAACATTTAACATTTTTGAAATAGGTATTTTAAATCAAAATACTGCCCGAAAATTGTTAGCGCTTGTGGAAAAATTTTCCATGCTTTGCTGGCACAATATACCCCCGGATATCTCGTAACTGCTTCTAGGTT